AGACTTGTACAGGTCTCTAGTTCTTAAGTACTCTGTTTTATCCCCATTTATCTCATTTCAATGAACATTCCTTTGTCTGCATTGTTTAATGTCTGTTTATACTGCTTTTTCTGCATTGTTTGCACTGTTTGTTGATGTTAATACCGCTATTTTGTAAATAAAGCTGATTCTGATTCTTTTAACAGCTCAACAGGTGAAGTTTCATTTGTTAAAAGAGGCTCAGTTATTTCTGGGCAGATCAGATCAGCACTCTGGAGGCAAAATGGAGTCTATAGCACAGAGGAATAAGCAGTATCATTTCATCAGTATGGTCCTGGTTATTTCAGGGGGTTCAAGTTCAAAGTGTTTATTTGCCATATGCACAGTTAGGAAATGTGTTTCCCTGTACAATGAAATTCTTACTTTGCCGTCCACATGAATGCCACAAAATACAAATGAAATATAAAGTAGATAAATAACACAAAATCTAAAGGTGCTTTAAGCAGCAACAGATGCAACAATATAATAAAAAATATATAAGAATATAACAGAATGTATGCTGCATGGGAGCAGCATGTGCAGCAGAGTCAATGTGCAATTATGCATGTAACACAAAATCTAGGACACTTTAAGCAGCAACAAATGCAGCAATATAATAAAAGAATATAATAAATGTATGCTGCATGGGAGCAGCATGTGCAGCAGTCAACAGTCATTGTGCAATTATGCATGTGCAAACTGAGAATAAACAATACATCACATATTTCCTGGTAATAAATACCTCAGCTTCTTCACAGTCTTTACCACTCTCTGCAGGTGCTTGTGGTCCATAGCAGTAGTGCTGCCATACCAGAGAGTGATTCAGCTGGTCAAGATGCTCTCAATGATGCAGTTGTAGAAGTTGCTGAGGATCCTAGGCGACATGCCAAACCTCCTCAGTCTCCTCAGGAAGTACAGCCACCATTGGGCCTTCTTGACCAGCTGTGTGGTGTTAAGTGTCCAAGTGAGGTCCTCACTGATGTGGACACCCAGGTATTTGAAGCTGCTCACCCTCTCCACTTCGAGCCCCCGGATGAACAGTGGCCGATGACTTCTCCTCTCCTTCCT